ATGAGCGGTTTTGGGAGCTTATCAAAATTTATGGTCAGCAACATACTGCTCAGACTAAAACTCCTACAGCAATTCACTTTACAGGTGCAATGTGTATAATCCAAGAGTATAAATGAAAACAGAAATCACGAGAGCATCAGACTTATGAACTGTGCAAAATAAATTAAATGTATTATAAAAGTGGAAAAAAACTTTTATTTTTTTCTTTGCATGTACATGCAGGAGCTGTAAAGCTAGCAATAGCAGGGTTTATGTGCGAGGCCAAAGAAAATGGATTTCCTTTCAAGTAAGCTGCATTCTTATAACCCACTACTTATCTGTTTAATTTCCTGGGGGATTCTGGATTAATCATAGCACTTTAATCCCCTTGCACTGCATAAGAATCCTCCATCAAACTCACTGTAATGCGGGATAGTACTTTCCATTGGAGTAGCACAGTGGAAGTAATCCCCTCACACTTTCCCAAGAAATTTTCTCCGTATAGGTCATGATGATTGCCCAGCAGCTCTCATTATGGGCTTTTTAAATGCCTCAAATTGTCCAGATGCCTTTGATTAATCTCTACAAAGTCAAGCTAAATTGTTATAGAGTATACTCACACTATTTTTGAATCTCCCACCGAATTAGATGCTCCTGTTGCTAATTGAAAGTATTACGAGCTCACCTTATTAATCTTTTTTTGTTAACTCCTTTTATGTTTTTTTAAAGAGTGAAGATCCATGTAATAATCTCCGTTGGAGATTCAGAAATCAGTATGACTTAACAGAATTGTGCTGCCCTCATAATTTAGTTGTGGAGTTAACGACAGGAAAGGTCAGAGTGAGTAAAAGAAAAGAAGCGGCTACACGCTGCTCACACAAAGCCTGATGTTTTGGGATATCATGTGATATTCAACAGATGGTTTAAAAGAAATGACATCTGTGCTGATGGAGGTTTTTATAACAGCAGCGGTTGCAGAGAAACAAATGCAAATTTAACAAGGTGTAAGAAGCATTTTTACCCCATAATCGGTGGCATTCTGCTGTTTCCAACTATCATCTGCTCGCTCTGAATGATGATCATATTCCAACTGTGCTAAGTACTTATAGTGCAGTGTATCATTTCATATCATATCATACCATAAAATCCCTGTCTATTCAATTAAATCAAACCACCCTTTCAATGCGTTTGGCGAATATACCATCAAAACTATTTACATCACTTTATTAAACCCATCAAACTCAGTTTGTTTAGACTCATTAAAACTTCAAATGAGGTGCATTAAATTATCTCAAAGCACCGCTCTGCGCTAATGGTTTGAGAGGCACTCTTGCTGCTGTGCCTTTTAAAGTGTTGATTTGAATTGTAATTTAAATATGGCCTTTCCAAACAGTCATTATGTCAGCATTAACCTCAAGCTACTGTCTTTTTCCACGTTTTAAACATGCTTCTTGTGTGCATCTATTAAACGCAATCACTTCTACTACATGGGAGAAATAGTAGCTAGCAAATTTATTGTAAACAAAGAGTAAATTGGAGCGAATTAACCTATCATTACTCAAAGTAGGGGAATACATGAGAAACAAAATAAAAAAAAAAACGGTAACACTTTATTTGAAGGGGGTTGAATAAGACTGACATGACACTGTCATAAACACCTGTCATGAACATGAATAAGCCTTCATCAATATTTATAACTGTTGTCATAAAGCGTCATTCGGTAAATTATGACACTTTTATACATTGATATAAATTTGTTATAAAAGTATTACTGATTGCACTTTAAAAATTAGGTATCTTTATGTTATTAAAGGTAAAGTTTAAACAGTAATGATTTCCTGGTTAATGTCAAGTTGTCATAACAAAGACATTTTGAATAATGTCAACTTTGTATTAAAAATGTCATAATTTACCGAATGACGCCTTATGACAAGAGTCATAAATATTCATGAAGGCTTATTCATGTTCACGACAGGTGTTATGTCATGTTTATGAACGTGTCATGTCAGTCTTATTCAACCCCCTTCAAATAAAGTGTTGCCAAAAAAACAAAAACAGAGATCATAATTAAACAGAAAATCGTTAGTTATGTTGTAGAATCATTGTCTTCAGATTGACCAGATTGCACTGTGACATTATGATTTTGTGCAAACAGATTTACCGAAGTGTTGACAACATACAGTGCGCAAGAGAGGTGGAATGATAAACAATAAAAATGGATGTCATAATCTAAATCAATAGAGTGATAGATAGAAATGACTCTTGGTGTCACCAAGGGTCATTTCTATAATTTCCTTGTTGTTCTGTAATGGTCTGTAGGCATTATCTTAGTCAGTTCAATATCGTTACAAGGGTGTTCCCATTTTTGATCTGTGTACTTTTGAATTAACTGTACTTATCTTACGTTATTGTCGGACCTTTTCCTTATCTATTTATTAGACATTGGAATCTTGTTCAGCTCCATTTGGTATTCCTCCCTTAATTTCCCTGCTGTCATTCTGCCACATATGTTCCACACAGACACCGATTAGTTTATCTGATTATTTTGTCATTTTACCGCCCAAACTTCAGCATGTAAGTTCCTGGTTTTTCAGAGTTTCTTGGCTGGATTCTTCCTTTCCACTGCCAGTCACTCTTTCCATGTTTCAGATCCTGTTTACTCTGTTTGAAGACTTATAATTATTGTTATTACTATACCCGCTACATACCTTTCTCAAGTGGCTGTCATTTTGTCTTTGCTTCAACAGCACACTCTGATAAACATACTACATTCAGAAGAACATGTTGTTAAATTAGACTAGTGTGAAAACAGGAAAGAGTAAGAAAAAAAAGGAATACATTTTTTTCTTTATTTCTTAACATTTTTTTACAGCAGGGCTCATAGTGTTAAATGTGTTGTCCCTGAGCATGTTTTCCTTAACTTGATCGATTCTGTGTTAAAGTCTGTAATGGGATTTGTTGTCAATTTTGTGGTCTGGTCAGTAAACAAATGGTGCTAAGTATTGATTTTAAATAAAGACCTGAAATTTGATTTCAGGTGTGAGAAACCGACTCATGGCCAGTGAGCACACACAATCAATGACAATATTGATACTAAAGGATTGACCTTTATTCATGAATAGCCTGCTTCATATCCATATCAAACCATTTACACAAAGAAAACAGATTTGATTAAATGTCATTTTAAATATCATTTTGTCCTTAAAGTCTTAAAAAAATATTTGAAGATTAAGCATTTGTAGAAAACGAGAAAATAATAGAGGTCAAACTTGTTGGAAAAAAATATATATTTTGACATTCTTATTTCAGTACTTCGGAAAAACAGGGGAACAGTCATAACTATTAAAATGTGACACTTGAATAAACTCTAACAACAAAAAAGTCTGAACAGTGCACACTGCGGCTCCCTCCACAAACTTAATGTTAGGCTACATCAGTGACAAGGGACAATATATTTGAGTTGCTGCTAAGTAAAGTGCATCGTAAATATTTTTATTTGCATCTGCTTTTAGAACAATCCTCTGAAATAGCTGTAGCTTAGCATTCTTTCGTCAGTGTCTCCATTTTATTGGCCAGAAAGTTGGAGGTGGGTCGTGCTAGTTAAAGGAGGACTGTACAAAACCGTGTGGCATAATGTTTAACAACGTTCTTTTGGGAGTTTTTTTTTTTTTACTGTCTTTAAATCAGGTGGTGTATGTTCATCTATTTTTTTTTCCCCAATCTAACACTTAATTGTTTGTAACTATATCCAGGGAGGGTTTACCACACAGAGTTTCTTTTTAAGTGGAGATGCCAGCTGTACTGTTTTAAATAAAGCAAGTAAGGAAAAAAAATAAAAAATTTAAAAATAATCTTTTAACCAGCATTTTCATTTTTCTATCCTTTGTCACATAGTTTCTAATTGTCGTTTTTAGCCATAAATTTAGTTAGTAATTAATCACTAACACTGCAATAGCTTATCTTTCAATTAAAAACAATGAGCAGCCAGTTATAACGTATGGAAATGTTTAACACATTTGGATATTTTTCATAGAATATCTAAAATTGTTTTAAGATGGGTTATATGGCATGTTTGGAGAGCACTGTGAGCATGACAACATATACCGGGTATAAGTGACGCATTGTTTGTCTGAGGTGATTGAGTCTTCAATTAAAGAGGAAACTTTTGTTTCTCAGACAAAAAGTTCTAGTAACAATCCTACATATTTTAATACCGCAACTACACGATGTTAATTAGGAGAGTGACCCTAAAAGCCATCTGGTCTTATCACACACTCAGTACTGCCACCATTCATAGTCGAATGCATTCTCCTTTCCAGCCTTCTTTAACTTTGCATGAACAGTCAAAAGGGGATTTAATCGGCCAAACAATGGGATTCATCTGGGGAAAAATAACACCGTTTGTCTGGGGATTCAATGGTTTGTTCTTTTTTTTTTTCCTCCATGTCCTCCAGCTGACATAACACCAACAATTTTCAGTAAGTGGGCATTTACAATTTACAATTCAACATGTCTATCGAGTAGTCATGAAAAAGGGGCATTCTCTTTTCAAACTATACCTGCTTTCTACTGATTGTACAAATCTATGATTTCCCAATTCACACGCCTTGGGTGAGTTGGGAGAAATTTCACCTTGTGGAGGTAATTGTATGGTAGCCTCACTGAAGGACCTTGACAGAAGAACATGAGGCTTTGCCAGACACTACAGCACTGACATTTGCTCTCTGCGGGAGAGATGGATCCTTTCTTTTCCTGAACACTCAAGGATAAATTTGTCCTACAGAAAATTGCTGTCTACCCTGACATTCAGACCGTGCAGAGTTCCTGGAAAACTAGCCGCACTGGCTAAATAAATTAATTCACAAAGAAATATGGCAAAACAAAACCGACGAGAATGTATCTGGAAGTAAAAGCAATGTCATTTATGGCAGAGTGTGGAACTGACCAACTGGCTAACCTAAAATGGAAGAACACTTCAAACTCCAACATTTATTTAACACTGATTCAAATGTTGTCCTTACCTTGTCTCCTTTTTCCCTGTTTTGTTTAAACAGCCCAAGCACACCTGGAACACCAGCATCTTCCTGTAAGCACAAATTAGTAAGATATTTTAGAAGATGCATTTGTATTAGAAACATTTAAAAGTAAACTGTTCTCTGGTGGATTTAAAGTTGACTGGGATTACTTATTCAAATTCAGAAAAAAATCATATCGACTCTTCACTTAAAAAAAAAAAAAAAAAAACTGACTCGTTACCGCCATTAAACATCTGTAATAGAAATTACTTTCTTGCCTGGTATACTTTGTGCAAACACTCATGGTCACCTCCGTGGCTATTGACTCCCAGCTCAAGCTATTTGTCTTAGGTGTGTCATTGTTTTTCAGCCTTGGGTTCCTTCATGAAACATTCCAATTGTTAAATAGTCTTGAGGTAGAAATGTTCCCAATAGAGATACTGTTTTTATGAGTGAGGAGACATTTTTTTTTTCATGTTAACCTTCACTATTGTTTATCAACATGTCCCGCTCCGATGATCTTCTAAGAGGCAGTCCTCACTATATCCTTTTTTTCTGTCACTAAACCTCAAATGAACATATTGATGTAAAATACTTGTTTTTTTTATTTTTTTTATTTTTGGGGTGGGGGGATTAGTAAAGTAGAAAATTATTTCCTTAAAAATTTGAAAAATGTAGAGGTGTTGCCTTTAGGACATGCTACAATGTTCTCCAGATTTGGGAGTCTATATTCAGTGAGAGAATGGGTCACAAAAAGCTATTTTTATTTCATAAAATTATTTTTTATTATTATTATTTCTATATTCCTTTAAAAACTTAAGGTAAGGCTGATTGTGATTAATTTATGTTTCATACTTTCAAGGGATGTAGTTTTTCTGGATGTGATATTTAGTCTTTACAGTTGTAGAAAAAATTAAATATGGAACTGAACATAAGCAGCATGAAGAACACAATTTTAATTTTAAAAGTAGATTAATATTTGCAGTGAAATCAGTAGGTTTTTTTTTTTTTTTTTTTCCCTACTTTGGACACTGTATGTCCACCATGTGCAGAATAATTGCACCAGTGTTTAATAGATTGCAGGTGCTTTCGGTTGGCTTTCAAAGAAATATAATTACAGGAATGATTACATGATATATCAAATCAGAACTGGCACACTTACAGTAACCATTACCCTGTAGTCCATTTGAGGCTCCTGTTGGGAGGAATTGATTGTACCTTCTCTCCTGGACAGTGACATGTGTCAATTGATTGTGAGGTCGGCTGAGACGGCATCAGGGGACTCTGGGCTGTAACCAGAGGAGGGGAGGTCCCAATAAATGTCCTGTTGACTCCACACTGGATCGGTACAGAAATTTCACCAATTAGACATTTTATTTTGAGTTTGTTTCACAGCAGAAAAATACTCCCAGAATTAACAACAGTGTAACCCAGCTCACCACATGTAGCCTCTCCTGTTTGATTAATAGGCTGATAGGCTCCCAACAGGAGCCTCAACTCCTTAAGAGTAACTTTACACTAGGTTGACTGCATCTTCATGAACACATTGTTTGAGGTTAAAAGGTCATTAATAACTATAACATTAGCTCTCATTGATTTAATTGTGATGGAAGACTTCTCTTACTCTATTTCAGGGAGGGTATAATTTTCAAACAAATTTATTTAATTCTTATACTTTTAATTATTCCACTGTGTAAGAAAAGCTGTTGAATCAGAAATTTTATGTCAACTGATAAACCACAAACAAATGTCTTCCTCTGAGGATATTCGATTTGAATTACAGAAAAGTGGAATTAACCATTTCTAGAATTTGCTACACTTTTTTTTAAATTGCTACCTTAATTTCAAATTAAAGTTGCAGTAGGTATCTTTTATAAAAAAAATATGCTTTTTATAAATTTGTTAAAGCTGTCACTATGTCCTGACAGCATAATTTGAGACAGATAATCTGTAAAAACATCAAGCTCATCTGCCTCCTCCCTGAGGTCCTACTAATATCTGCAGACGTACACTTTCTGACTGCTCCATCAGAAACAACTAATCAGGTCTTAGCACTGTCTCAGATTACACTCTCAGGACACAGTGACAGTTTCAGCAAATTTATAAAAAGTACATTTTTGTAAAAGTTACCTACTGCAACTTTAAAACGTGAATAAAAAAAGCAGCAGACTCTTTCTCCGGTTTGAAATACAGTCATCAACAAAAATCCATTGACATCATATTTTCAGGCAAAAATTTCAATATTTTACCATTTCTTCTGACAAACTGGAACATAAATGTTTGTTTCAAACTACCCAAGCATAAATCCTTTATTTTTGCTAACCCAGCAGTTTTGTTGCGAGAATATGTTGTTAAAAATGAAAACATTTTACCTTTGGCTCAAGCAGCTCACAGCAGTTTTCCATTTCAGCCATGTAAGGGTCACAGTAGATCAGAATTTGTCTCAACTCAATCTGTTAAGAAGAGTTCAAGTTAATGCAAGATTACTGTCATTATCACTCTCAGAGACGTACAAATGTGTTTCTTTGGTTGCAACATTTCAAATTGTCACGTGGTTTGTTCTTTTAGATCAACAGTATTGAGTGGAGTCTTCATCACAGCAAACAGCTTAAAGATTCTAGATCTAAATAACAAGACTTCCTTAAGTGCTTTACCTTCTGCAACACGTTTACTGATTTATGTAATTCATGAATTACATGGGGTAAAAAGTCAGCTGTTAATCCTACTTAAGCCAAAGTCTATTCAAAGGCATGAGTGATCAAATGGCAAAGCTGACCTTAGTTTTTTTTTTTAGCCGCCTGTTCGAGCTACTAGAGGAGGCTCAGAGCTAGGAATCAATAGAAGATTTACGCCAATCAGAAAGGCATGTCCCTGGAGGATAATTTAAAATGTTTTGAGTGCATTTTAATTGGTTGTCCAGGCTTGATCAAATCAGCAGAAAGTACCAAAACTTTCAGGACAAAACACTGTTTAATCTTTATACTATCTCTCATAACTATTGGCATCCTTGATAAAAGATCTGCTAATATCCTCAGGATGAATTAATCTTTCATTGTAGCTTCATCTTCTCACACTGGGTAATTTGAAGCTGTTCTCTACCAATGTGTTTTGACGTTTTTATTTCCTTTACCTAACTGACAGAACAAAGTTTTTCATCCAGTGCTGTATGGCACAGCTTGACTTGAATTGTGGCTCTCACTGTAGTTAAAGTAGCTATTTTCCTCAAAACATTTCTTGACGTATGCAGATCAACACGTCTGCCTTACTTAAAGCACGTGTTATTTGGTCTTTTCCATTTAATAAAATAACTAAGAAAAAAGTGTCAGAACTGTTCTCCAGACAAACAGCAAGTTCTAGAGTACTAATTAAAAATGTTATCAATTTAAATACATATTTAATGTAAAAATATAAAATATATAAAAATTCTTAAGTTACATGCTTAAATAACTTCTAATGCATAGACTGCTTAATTGCAGCACCCACAGTAAAAAAAAAAAATATCTATAATTTATCACACTCAGATTAATATTTTAATTTTAAATTCATTTTTTTTAGAATAAATTGAAAGCCACATGTGCAATAATCCAATAAAAACATTCTGCTTAGTAATCCAACACTCAAGATATTTAAAAAAAATATATATGTTAAGACTTAAAGATAAGCACCAACACTCCTCCTGACCCTGCTAGGAACAAGGGTGTACAGAAAATGGATGGATGTTAAGACTTAATACATTGAAGCCAATTGCTGTATTTTCCGGACTATAGAGCGCACCATACTATAAGCCGCACCTACAAATAAAAAAAAAACTGGAAACGTACATATATAAGCCGCACAGGGCTATAAGCCGCTGGTATCTCCGATTTCTGCAGCAGAGGGAAGCGTCCTAATACATCTGCTGGATATATTAACCCTCTATGGTATAATGTTGCCATTTGGCAACACATCACTTGAAGCCCTTCCACACATATACAGTACCTCCAATTTTACAATGTAGTACACTGAAAGAGAGATGAGGCCCTAAGAAAACCAATAGGAGTGTTGAAATCTGTCACATGATTTTCTGGAGAGACGTTTGACATCCTTTTCTACAGACCTCTTCACATAGCAAGGCCTCACCATTGAACTCCTCAGAAATAATGAAAAAACGTATTTTTATGACATTTTTTGACTGGGAAAAAAATACACACTCTACAATAAATGAGGTAAGTTCACTATTCTGTCATTCATTGTGCTGTATTTGATCATTTAATAATTATAAACCATTAAAATGTTGATGTTGCCGTATGGCAACACTGTACCATTAGGATTCCAATTGTATTGTTGGCCGGGCGTATTATCTTCTAAAGTTTGCTATAACAATGCATTTTGTGAGTCCTTTCATATTGCATATGTGTATCTTTGATACTCTTTTTTCCATTTACATCATTAATGCAACAATGTTTTATAGTTTCTTAGGAATAAAATAATCTAGCAGTTCCTTTTTATGATAGTGAGGATGCATTAGGATTTAGTGTTGAAGAAAATGAGCAGCTTGCAACTTTGCAATGAGAGTGAGGATGATGGAGACTATGAGCCAACAATGAGGGTGAACGTGCAATTATGTCTTGTGTGTTGCATTAAACTGGCATGTTCATAACATACTAAGGATATTTATTTGTTTTCTAGGCCCACCTCTTCCACTGGAAGCTGAGAGGAACTGCTTCATCAACTTCCACAAGCAGTAAGGCAAAGACGGCAGGATCAAGACACTCAAAACCATTATATCAATGAAATATGCCAATAAATTAAATTGATTTTAGCTATCAAATTAGTTTTATTGTTAACTACTATTGCTACTGGAGACTATTTAGATTTAAATAAAGGTTTTTACAATAATAACCCAAACTCTCTTGCTTTCATTAGTTTGCACTATGGTACAGTGTTGCCAAATGGTAACGTCAACAAAAAAATTATTTTAAAAAATTATATTTTTTAAAAATGTGTCTTTATTATGTTTACTTGGTTTATTTTAAGTCTAAAAAAATCCCAAACATTTTTTTTTCCCCAACTTGCATCACTATGCGTACCATAGAGGGTTAAGGACGCAGCCCTCCACGCTGAATCATGGTTTACGTGCAGCGGCTCTATTTCCCTCCTGTACTGCCAGATTGTTGATAGCCTTCAACTTAAAAGCTGCATCATATGAGTTTGAAGAAATTCCTCCGTCGTGGCTGCTGCTAGCATATGCTTGTTCTAAATGAAAATTAGCACTTTCTTCTTTGATTTCTAATTTTGACTTCCAATGATTCACTTCCTGCTAAAGAGCCCCCTGGTGGTTGGAGGAAAATCCACAGAAAAGCCGCACCAGGCTACAAGCCGCATAATTCAAAGTGTGGGAAAAAGTAGCGGCTTACAGTCCGAAAAATACGGTATATGAATTATCAAAATAATGTAAGTACTGACATGCTGAGATCATTATTTAAGCTGAATTTTGTGAAGTGATAAATTTCCATCTTTTATCATTTTCTATCGTTTTAGCAACTGTGCCAATAAATATGGTGCTAGATGTGAATTTATTCCAGAACAAAAATATTTATTTAAAAATGAGTCATGGGAACATACATCCACAGGCCTTCCATCTTCCACTCGTGTACTGATGAGTGTGCGCCCGTTGAGATCGATGCTGTCCCTCTCATCAGTCATTTTCTTTTCAGCCAGCGTGCAATCGACATAAATGGAAACTGTGTCACTGTGAACAGAAATGCCAAGCTTGTGCCATTGGCGATCAAAGAGGGCATGCAGGTCACGACTCTTAAACGTGTAGCGGAAAGAGTTTTTCAGCAGACCCTGGGAAGAAAACTCCACTGCTTTCTTATCACCATCAACCACCACTGACACCTGAGGAGTTAAGAAGAGTTTAATAAGAGATTGCTCATCAAAAATGATAGTATTTTGATTAATATGTACATTACTCTGATCTATAGACCTGGTCAGAAGTTTACATATATTCAACATAGGCATGAATGTCAAATTTATTGGGGGACTTTAAAATAAAATTTGTGCTCATTGGGAAATTTTTCAAATCCACACAGGGTGCATACAGTCTTAAATATACTGTATACAATACACATATGCCAACTCTTCATAACAGGAAACAGATTTAATTTTAAAAAAAATAATTAAGTTAACTCTAAATGTCTATCCAGCCAGAATTATCCCAAAAGCATTTTGATGGCTAGAAAAACATGTTGAAAGAGACACTTTCTAAGAGAAATCTATCCAAATAAATGTAGGGATTTATGTACTTCATATATCTGAGTCTGTAGGTTTTTTGTTTTTTTTTTAAATCCTTTTTCAGTTAGATAAAATTCACAATAAATTAAACTTTTTGGCTTGAATTTATTCAAGCCAAAAGAATTTAAAAATTCTTCGTTTTTAAAACTCGTCCAAGATGTCTGTTGTACCGTCATTCCACTTCTAATGCACGAGATGACATTCAAGCCTCTGACCAGCATTGTACGACATTACAACACACCTACCTGACTGCTTCCTGATTGGTCAAATATTTGCCAAAGGTACCAGCGGTCTTTTTTTGTAGTTCGTCTCACACGGAAGATGGTGACCAGGGAATACTCATTTGAAAGTCCGTCTGGAAATATCAATCTGAAAGAAATGCATCTTTATATTAAACATTAAACATTTATTGTTTAATTGTCCAAATAGTCTCAGTCAACGGTGTCAGTTGTCGGAATTGTTTAGTTAAGGTTAAGAGCTTTCATGGGCTGCATAATGAATGAGCCAATCAACTTTTGTGATCAATAAAATATTTCAGTATCCTCTTGATGCAGTGGCATTCCCAATGAATAAACATGGCAAACTTAATTCCATTTAGTGTGGATTTTTATTTATTTATTTATTTTTTCCGGGATCTGATGTCATTCATATAATGAAACCATGTAGACATTGATGCAAAGCTTAATCTTTTAGTGCACCAGAACACCATGTGCTACAGCTACACATGAAAAATAAGTTGGAATCACATGTTCATCTCTATGATATGCACTGCTTAGTGAAGTGGAGTCCAGTTGAAGGAAAAAAAATAAAATAAAATGAGGCGTATAAAGGAAAAACAATATTATCACATACTAAACAAGCTTTTCCCCAAGTTTTTGCTCAACTTACAATTGCAAGTTACATTGCGTCAAAGAAAAGAAAACTCAAAAAAAGCATGCAAAGAATTTTGTTAAATATAATTAATTATGTTCTGCCCCTAACTTCAGTCAAATTAACAATTAAGAATGAAAGAGCATGAATACAATACGGTCAACAAAAATAGTAATAATAATCCCATGATAAGGTCGGTGACGCTGCAGCACGTAGTTGCGAGGATTGAAGAGTGATACACCTTCCTCAGACAGGTTGGAAATTAGTTTTCACTCCTATATATCATCTCCTATTCCCACACAGCCTCATACCTGCTTCTGTTGTATTTGCAGAGATTTTACTGTAAACGGTACATGACTAAAATAAGAAATGCACTGAGTTAGAGTGCCTAAAAGAACCAAATTCCTCTGTTGCAGCCCGAGGACTGTGAAGGTCATTTCTGGTCTTGTGCATGAGACCGTTTCAACTGCAGATGAATATTAAACATGGCATCACAGTTTCCGCAGATGTTGCATTTAATTTAAATATAACATTCAATTTAAAATGTCATAAAGAAACAGAAGACTACGGCACCTGTTGCTGTTGAATGTACCGTGAAGAATTACATTATGCTGATAAAGAATCCACATAAAAGAAGACACTGAGCTCAAGAGAGCATATTAATTACACATAGCTACTGAGACATGGTAAATGAACACTCAGCAGGCTGAATACTGTTTTATTTAAGGCCAACAGAGTTAACACTCCTATTTACTATTATTCCAAAGCTTGGTGCCTCTGTGTTGTGGATACATTATATTTCTGAGGAGTTTAAAGGGTTAAACTTCTTGACCTAGTGCTAAGTGCTCTCAGTGGCTGAAGTGACAAAAACTCCAAACCTTAAAGTTTGAATGCTGTGTTTGATTCTTTGCTGAAATGCCGCTCTGCATGCTTAAATAGATGCTAATGAGTGCATAAGAGGGATGTTCATTCATTCTCCTCACCACCGTGTTATATTGCCAAAAGCGCTTTTACACTGTGTGATTCTGCCAACTCCGTCTCTTACAAGTCTCATTTAAATATGACTAATTTGCAGTGGTTAATATGATGTGGAATCATTTTTAATTGACTTTTGGATTACATACAGCAATGAACTTTTATTTTCTCTCAAGCCATGTGATGGTTGAATGCTATAAAAGTCAACAGTACAGTTTGATGAAGACAAATACACCCCAGTATGGAGAAAAATCCTCCAATCACCACCACGACTCTCGGAAGTGTGTGAAACTTGCAAAAGTATCAATATCTCATTCATAGTAATTTATGGGCTGTGAACTTTTTCACATTTTGTAACCAACAGTCACAAAAGTCTGTTGGTTTCGTATTGGGATTTTATTTGATAGAATAATACTAACTAAAAACTGATACTGCACACCAAGCTGACCAAATCTTACCAACGGTGAAACTTAGCAGTGACCGCATCGATAAGTGGTGTGTCTCTTCTTACACTTGATTTTGCTTAGGTGTAGCAACTGAAATAGCAATGGCGATATGTAAAAAGGTTCAACTAACTAAAAACTAAGTTAGCTGAACAATCAAAAATATCCACAGTTAGGTTGTGACTATTTTCACAAGGAACTTTAAAAAAAAAAAATCAACTGACAGCTTATGTAAATGAGTCACAATGGAAAACCATATATTAAATAAACAATTACAGTTTCTTTGTGTCATCACTCTTCTTACATGCCTTTGACCGTACATCTTGTCTAGGTGACGTGGTCCATAGTGTAATCAGAAGCAAAAGTTTGAACGTGTGTCAGAGGAATGCTACCAGTTTCACCGAAGTAAGCAGCTTAAAAAAAATCCAGTACTGGTGGATTCTTTCAGAGTCAAATTGCTGCAGTTCAAACAATCAAACTACAAATGCTAACCTAGTGGGCTCACATTCCTCTCTCTCTCCTGAAAATGTTAAATGAATCCCGATGAAATAAAAGGATCTCCAGGATCACCACACTTTCTGGAAAATGAGTCAGTTAGGTTTTGCGGGGCTGATAGAGAAGTGACAAAACAGCCACTAATTACTGAAAACCACAACCTGAAAAACAATCACAAAACACCCTGATTCCATATCATGTTTTTCTGTCTCAGCGGGTCATGTACCAAATTATGAAAATATGTGGCTGCTTGCAAAAGAAATGATGGCTCATTTCCTATTTCAAGATGAAAAATTACTCTCTGTCAGAGAGAAAATGCTGCCAGTTTCACTTAAAGCTTCTGATTGTCTCACAAATGCGTAAACAAGAATGGCAATTTTGAAAGCCCACCCTCAAAGCATATGAAAGCCTAAATTTGAATAAACATACAATAATGAGCCTGCTTTCTGGCTTTACAACTCATTATGCTACACAACACAAGGAAACAAGCAAAAAGCTCCACTCAAGTGTGGCTGCCTGCTATCTAACACGCAGCAAAAAAAAAAAAAAAAAAAAAACTCATTTGCAAAACCTTTAACCAAAGAAAACTGCGCTCTTATAAACACTCGTTATCCTTACTGCACGAGAAAATCTGCAGCGTAGATGGCAAAGACATATTCAAATGCAATTTAATAAATGAATCGTATATGATTATAAACACGGGTTAAGATGTAAACAGACGTAGACGAAACACAGATGTTTCTAAAGAGAGTGAGCAACTGTTACTAAACTTTACCGCTGTATGGATGAGTGCACGGTGCATTATGGCAGGCAATTTGTCACTTGACATAACTGCTTGAAGAGTGTGTCAGCCGTGATCTATGTCCCATAATGTGCACTGTGTCGAGGAGCTGGCTGATCGTCAGCTGGATCTGGAGAATAAAGCATGGGGCTGCATATCCCCCACCTCCCGAGTACGGTGAGCAATGCTTTTTGCAGCAAGGGCAGCAGCTGAGGGGGCTTTGTTCTATACGTGCAACTGCCCTCACCTTCCCTCCTGAGCTGATGTGCTCTATCACCAGTCAAAGTACTTAGATAATTGGATATGAGCGGGATCGCAGCCTTGCCACTATAACCAACAACACTGCCAGCAGCGTCCCTGCGAAACCAACAACTGCTTGCGTTAGGGGTCCGGACCGAGTGAGACGACTTAAGCATAAATGTATTTTCAGTTGGCTGACAGAACGGGAAAGCAGACCGCAAATCATCCAGCTCAAAGATACGTTAAACCAGCAAGCGGGAGGGTGGCAGTAAATGTTTACAAGTGCATGTAAAAATACTAAAAATACCCAGCCCTCCTTGAAGAATGACAGTATTCACTTTGAGTGTTATAACCAAAGGACAGGAAAGAATGATTCTCTCCAGAACTTCCAGAACACCATAGTAAGCCGAGTCATAAATGACGTAGGCCTGCATAATATATTAAACGAGATGGCCACTTAAACAAATTCTCATTAGCATAGAAAAATCTTACCGTCCACCCAGTTAGCTGGAGAATAACGATCTCCCAGAAAAACGACACCTAAGTGTGTCATTTACGGAGTTATTTTAATATTCCTAGCTTATTATACATAATCTGGATTTTATGTCCCTTTACGTCCCACATTCAGCCTCAAGGAGATTTCTTGAATAAATGCAATATATATTAATTCAAATTATTCTCTGTCAGTGAGTTCACCTCACTGCTTGCCCTTACTAAATGAGGTAAATGGGACTTTTGCTCTGAACATGATATATGTGGGTTGCCTCAGTTCAACTCTTTCATGAATTTTGTAACGATACAATTTCTCCGATAAAATCACCAGATCTGAATACAAGAAAACCACCCATTGCTCATCCAAGAACATGTAGCAAACATAACCAGACATCCTCCTTACCAGAGACGATCTCCAGGACATTTGTGTTTGGGGACCCTGAAGCATTTCCAGGCCAGAAGGGAGATGTAGATCCTTCTGCAAATTCTAATATTTCCCTGGTGTCACCAACCAGAATAAAATGCCCAGACAACCTTCAAAGGAATGCACCCACAAAGAATCTAGATTAGATATCTGAACCACTTTAACTAGTTACTTTTGATGAAGGGGGGAAATCAGCTCTGCTTTTAATCACCAGTGCATGTAAAAGGTCACGGCTTGAGGATAGCAAAATAACCACATCATCTCCAAAAAGCAAAGATGAGACTCTGAGGTTCACAAACCAGATACTCTCTTCTGTATGGGTATACCTTTAGCTGTTTGTGAGGTTCATGAACATCACAAACAGGATCGGTGACAAGCATCAGCACCGGCACAGTTCACTTTACGCTGGTAACAAGCCAGACTTTGTGAGGACTCAGCTCTTGCTGTGGTCCGACAAAGACCGAAAATCCCTAGCCAAGCACCACACACTCCCGCAGCTATCCAAACAATGTACATTTTAGAATGATTGTTAGAACTCCTGACCCACAAAACCCATGTCGACTAAACAGCTACACTCCCATCACCGGCTCAGTAATTATGCATTGTAAAGGTTTGGCTCACTGTACCACGGTCATGGAAAATAGCAACATAGTGAATCCCAGGTCAGAGCACTTCTTTTCCAATTCATTGAAGTATGCTTTCAAAGAGACGCCCCGAAATGTTATTCCTCAATAAATGGAACATTGTCCCCCATCCTCCTTTTAAATCTTTATATATTACAGGAAGAAAAACAATAATCTGCAATAGGACATCCAAGTTTTTAAAGATCAACTTACTTTGTTGGTTTTATAAGAGGGCTGCTTCCCAGTCGAAATGATGGCAGGTCTTCTGTAACTGTTCCCTTTCGGAGAAGAAATTTTTCTGTGAGGTCAAATCCTGGAACAAAGCCATAATGTGTCATAATATAAACTTATAGTAAATTTCTCAATGAATAAAGCATTTTGTTTTACCAGCATTTACCTGTAATCTGTAAAGGACGGTCCAAAACATCAGAAAATCTGTAATCCTCAACACTCAAAGAGGGACACACACCACCTATAGAAAAGCAGCCAAGAAAAAAATGTTTTGAGACTAAGTTTTAAATTGTGCATTTAAATTGTTTTTTTCTGAATGCAAAACTTCAATGAATTAATGTCAGACATTCTGCCTTAATCTCCTTGGTTATTCATTTAAATTTTAAATAATAGCCATAAAGACTAATAATTTGTTTTCAAGGTTTCACACTTCATTGCTAAATCTTTCATGCATTACATTTATCATTAAATGGTATCTTTTTAAAGCCTTTCAGAACTTCAGATGAAAAAGAATTACCAACAAACTAGCGTACCTGTTTGTTCGCTCACTACCATTCCAAAAGCACAGGGAACAGAGTTCACAATCCAAATGAAAGCAACCCATCTTATCAAGTAGCAATTCATGGCTCTGATGCTGAAAGGCAGCCCACCTGCAAAGCTGCAAAACAGTAGAACATTGCTTTAAAATTCATTTTAGAAATATTGACATAATTAAAGTATATAGCTAATTTTGAAAAAAAAAAAAAAAAAAAAAAAAAAAAAACTTGTACTGTCATTGATGTCAACAAATATACACCCCAAGGATCAAGACAGTGTACTATTGGAGTAAGGTTTGCTGAGGTAAGGAAGTTTGCCAACTTCTACACCTTGAACTTTGATGATATTCACAAAACTGTGTAGGCGCTACTCAACCTTGTCCAAACACATCATTTCCAAAAAGCAAAAAAAAAAAAAAAAAAAAAGCAGACTTGCTTTAAGCCAAGAAAATCAAGGACCTAAACGTGAAAGAAATATCTAAAAGTGACTTCAATGTGCTCAAACAAAACGGCTTAAATCTTTGATATCTGATGAGTTTGAGAAGCATATTTTCAAAAAGTACAGATTCCGCATAGGTTTTTTGCTACACTAATGTTGAGAATTTATAACATTTATTTGAGGTACTTTGAGGGTTTTGGAATAATTTTAGCAATCCATAAAAGTATCATCTTTGGATGTTATCGTTATCCATCTGTGGGTTGCTTAGCGTTTTTAATAAATAGGTTTATAGTATGTCATACTACAGTCAAAATTTCATTCATTTTTTTTCCCAGAGATGTCAGTTTGTTAATTGCCTTTGAGTACATTATGTAAATTGTTAGTTTTATATCAATAAGTCCTCACAAGGTATGCTTCTCAAACTCTTTTTACAGTTTTTTGTCTTAAGCATCCAAGTATCTCTGTTGTTTTAGTTTTTATATACGACTATTGTAATTGTAATCAATGCAGTGTTTGAATTTTGCTATTTGTAGATGAACCATTGATAAGTTCACACTTACCAATTGCAGCCAGATTGAGCGCAAAAAATTAGAGAGCTGTGTATTTGATCCTGACTGAGGTGGAGTTGGTTTGGTTCCCCTCACACAATTACACATTCCTCCAGAGTTTATCCCATCTAACACCGATTTTTGTGCCAACTCACCATGCCGACTGATCACTAACACGTCTCCAAAAACCGTGCAGTGTGAACAAAGCTTAACCCTGAGCTGCTGTTAGTTAATTAGCCAATAATACTCCTGCAAACATTACAATGCAGTGAAAGTTGAAGGTGGAAACTATTCATTAGTTGATTACGGGGGTTGAATTCCATTAAACCAGTGACACACACAGCACTATACAACATCTAAATGAGATGTTCCTTTAATATTTGAACCAATAAAATACAGAGATGTGCATTGTTATTTTCTTGTATTGATATCAGTTGTTAACACTAGAATAATTTGCAAACGCCAAAGGTTTTCTGATCTGCAATTAAATTTAGAGTGCTCCCATCTCGGATGTAATGCCGTCTCCAGTTACGAGTTCCAATTTCCAAGGCGAATAGAACAAAGTGTTGGACGTAATAAGGATCCTATCTTGCATAGGTGACATGCATTTGGTTGTAATCAAGTAAACCAATTAGCAGCTAATGGCAACAACAAACCAGTGACAGTCATCCTTTTAATAGGCAGTCCTGCTTCTACAGCATAATCTAGACACTCCACAAAAGCCCACCTTTTAATTTAGTATTCACTATTTTCCTCACTCAAATATTTCCTCCTTGTTCTCTCCTATTGTGTTTTGTCAGCTTGTTTCTGGTTTTCTTCACAGAAGTTACACATGATCTGGTGTTTCATATGTACTGGTTTATTTGTCTCTTTCCTGTAAATGGTAATCAGCAAAACATTTCAATAACTTTGCTTTCTTTGTCTGCTGATGATATCCTCTCATTCAATGTTGGATTATGCCTCCTTCCTTGGACAAATCCATGAAAGAAATTACTGCTGCAAATAGATATATAAATGCTACATTGTATCACAAGCGGGATTTAATTCAGATCTGCTGAGATGACTGGGCTGACCTCAGTATTGGTATATATTTAGATATGAATTTGGACCTGTTTATCTTTTAAAGTGCTTTGTGATGAAACGTGTAGTGAACTTGGACTGTATAAATAAATTGAACTGAATAAATAAACTGAATTTTAAACAATTCCTACAATTCCAAAAAGAAACACGCATGTGTAGCATCAGCTTTGAAGGATTACTCTCCAGTATCTTGTCCAAACATGGCTACTACTGTCCCAAAATGACCTAATGGCAAAGGATTCAAAACTAAAAGGTGTTAAGGTAAAGGATGATGTCATCATTGATACACAGTGGACATCTTGTTGCAAAGAAAAAAAAATCTAATTTATTATTACTAAAGGAGAGAAGTTGAATTATGAAATTAAGAGTTCCTTAGAGTTTGACAGATTTTTCTGTATTGGCCCAGCAGATGAACATTCAAATAATAATAATAATAAAAGTAAAAATAGCTTTAGAATGAAGTGTTTTTTTTTTTTTTTAAGTGTGCAGGGCAAACCATGCACAGACGGGGTAAAATATAACAATGCAGAGAGAAGATAACAGTGATCGCTTTCAGCTATCACACTAATTAATAGCAGGGAGAGGCAAACAATGGGCTAAACGGACTTCTAAGATAGGCCTATTATCCTGGTTGCAGTAGTAACCAACTTTAATTAGTTTCATTCAGCTCACCAGGAGCTGAAACTGCTGGACTTCATTGTTGTAGCTCGGAAGGTTTATGACAGAAACGTCTAAACATTTCTTACATCTAAAAATGGGAAACATCTGTTATATTTTGTCTTCTGATCGGGTTTCTTAGCTTTAATGAAAGTTGCACTGCTGTGGAAATAAATGTTGCACCCTAATGGTAAATTATGCTAAAAGCTAATACAAATAATTTACTCCTGACTAACATGTGTAATCAGAGGTTTCAAAAGGTGCCACTCAACAAGGAGTCTGCACCTTTGAGCTTTTCATTCCTATGAGCTCATTAGCATCTAAGACCCTGTGATGAATGCAGATGTCAACAATGTACAAGAGTAAGATCATTAGCCCGTAGCTTTGTTTGTGTTAAATGTTGAGTTGTAGCTTGTTAGCCAAGGTGACCTTATAACATATAACACTTATAACACTTATAACACTTTAGGATGGCTCTTGAAAGAGTACACAGTCTTTTACAATTAATTGCATAAATGTACATACCCTTAAAATATTTTGTTAAAATAACTTTTTGTTTTAATCACACCCTAAAAATACTATTTTAAGGGTGTGGATCAGAGGATTTAGTATTTTTAAATACAGACCTGAATCTGATTAACCTGAAATAAATTTCAGCTATCCTACTTGGGGTTTAGTGGCATCTAATCGTGCAGTGCTTAGCTGAAGCCAAGGCTACAAAGGATAAAAAAAAAAAAAAAAACTCATTGTACTCAGGTATTAGTCAAAAGATTATTCAGCAGTTATAAGGTGGATTTGATTGTAGTTATGCTAATAAATCAACACTGAAGAAGTTGCAAATATATTCAAGAAGTACTGGTCGCATTCTGTATGTAACAACTCTGGTATTGTCCTTATCTCCAGATGGAGAATGAGACTTGCAAGACAGAATCCTTCTCTTAAAACAAACTAAAAAAAAAAAAAACAACATAAAATCAGGCTTCCAGAAACCGATTCGGAGACTCTGTTGATGTCTGATCAAATCAAGTAGGAGCTCATGAGCATTATTTCTAAAGCTATGTTTAGCACAAACACAACACTGCTCATCACTAAAAAGAACACCATGTCTACAGTTAAAGATAGTGGCACTATCATAATCTGGGGTTACTTTACTTCAGATGGAACTTTGGTTTCGGTTAAGAATTCACAGTTCAGAATGGGTGTTAAAAATCTAAACACGAAGTGGGATTACTTTTTACGATCAAGCAGAGTCCAAGCATAGCTATAATAATAATAATAATAATAATAATAATAATAATAATAATAATAATAATAATAATAATAATAATAATAATAATAATAATAATAATGGCTTCATTAAATTAAAAAAATAAGGTTTGGAATCTGTGTGAAATGTCACACTATTTTATCACTTGTATAAATAATTGGTGGTTTAAAAATTTTGGCCAAAAATTGAAGTTTTTTTAAATTCTGATTTTCATGCCCTGAGTATCTCATACCAACCCGTTTCAACGATATTGAATTGGTGACATAGCAATTACAAGGTAATTACATTACTTATAGAGTTTTGTCATAACTGTTGACATCCATTCAGTTTGGTCATTATTATACTTCTTGACCAGTGTAAAGCTGGTTCTGCACATCGTATGGATCAAAGTCCGTAGAGCTTATAACCCAGTCTGTTTATTTCTCCACAGAATTAGAATGAAAATGGATCTTAGGGTTTTTAATAACATCTTATTATCAAATACATATTTCCTCTTAATGTCACATCACTGTTAAGTATCTGTTGCTCTGAAAATAAAATCCATGGGTCATGACGCCTCCTAAACAGGAAGTTGGAAAAATGTTTCCAATACTCTCTGTGTGTGGCTTTCGTAATACAAAACCCTTGATCTCTGCCTGTTGGCGCTCTGGCGTGTTCTGATCTAGAAAAATCTTTGAAGGGCTCTTCATCGAGGATGTGACTTGTAAGGATGAAAGTTAGAAACCTCCAGTTCGGAAAGACATTTGCCTAAACTGCCAAGCAAATCTTCAGGATTGCATGCATAGCAGAGTAAAAGCATCACTGTGGATGAAGTAACTGTGGATGAGTTTCTAAAGTGAAGCAGCATCAGATGTGGGTAATTTCTGCACTGAAGAAACCTTGCATGTAAACATGATGGTAAAAAGTGAAAGAGAACATGATGTAAAATACCGCAAGGAAACATGTACATAATATTTATATATATATTCAACATACAGAGTAACTTTTGAGCCTCAGTTAACGCACTATAATACCAGATTGAATAAACAGTTTAACCTCCTAACTTTAGTAACAATGCACCTGTAATGCCAATAAAGCTACCTGGCTGATCCTTCTTAGCTACGTATCTCTTTTGTAGGCAAAAGCCACAAAACTCAACAAAACACAAAAACTAACTTAATGTATTTTCACACTGCAACTAGTAGCACTTCTTCATTTAACTTTCTTTTACACCTTCACTGTCTTGTCCAAATAAATAGTCCTGCAGAGATTAATTTCCACGTGTGCACATGCTCATCTCCCACTGGATCATAAAGTTGTGCATGCGGGCCGCAGAAGGCTGTCATGGCATTTGGAGATGAGGCGACTGCCACTTAAAACTTCAAGCATGCATGGATAGTAGACAAGCAGCCCAGCGCAGGTATCACATGTCTTGTCTGTGAGAAGGCGTTATGTTATTCCTGTGTAGCCTAGTTTTGCAATGCAAAACATTGGACTGCATTTACTGCTTTTCCACGCCTTCAAATAAAACTATTTTTCTACAAAAAAAAAAAAAAAAAAGATTCATTTGCTTCTTGCAGGTTCTTCCTTAAGGTATAGACAGCAGGGATGATGGAAAATCTGCTGTCAGCCTGCATCGATTTAAATTCTAAATCGACAATGTATCAGCCAAGTCATTGTGTCACAGCTTGAGAAAAGAGCCCGGACAAGACTCAGGCATTTAACTTTCTCTCCATCATCCCCTCAGACACCCCCCCCAGTCAATGCAGTGTAGTTAACATTAAGCGGTCGCTATGGAAAGAAGCGTGCTTCCCTGCCCGAACGCTGATTGGCTGCATGCTTAAATTCTTTAATAACCACCAGATCTAGAGCTGTCTTCAGATAACGACATAATCTTGCACTTTTTTAGTGAGCAAGTGATGCAATAAGACGGACTACATGCGCGGCAGAGAGAGGGCGTTTATTAAAGAGAAAGACAGCAGCTCATGAGACATGTGCCTTGAAGTTAGAGCGTTCTGGACAAATAAAACAAAAACATGACTTTAATTTTATAGGACCGGGTAAACAAAATGACACCTTAATAAAGCGAGTTTTGATGATATTCCCAGTATAAAGATATATATACATATATATTTTTATAAATATAACTTATAATGGAATATTTTAATGAGTAAGGGACTACTTACAGGTGCTGATAAACTTTCCTTTAAAGCAAAAACAAGTCAAAAGCAGCGATAAAATCATAATCCATGCGTGATAACGATCAGTACAGCTCCGGATTCCGGGACTTGGAAATAAAAGTCACAGTGGGATCGCCCGCTCCGATCGCGGTCCTTTTTAGTTGCACCGAGTGGCCCTCCCACTCTGTCATTATTACTGAAATACACTGACAGAGACTTCTGCAAACACCCTGAAAGCTTTCTTATTAGGGGGAAATTAATGCCCGAAGGCAGTTCAAACAAGCTCTCTTATTAACAGAGCAGGTGCGGGAATTAACTACCATTTGATGCATTGTGATTTATTCAAATTTGAAAGAAGAAAGGCCTGAAGCGTATGGATTTGCTCGCCCTTAATGTGGCTTTTTGTCTCTTGTTTGCAGTAAGTGCTCCCCAGATTAAAAGTGAATGTGACAATACAAAAGGTGTTCACACCAGAGTTTTTATCTTGGCCCACGCCATGGCTGCCTTTTTATCACGTAGACGATAAAGCCTTCCAGCGACAGCAATTGCACCATATTATGAGCCCCATACACTCTGATTATCCGACATAATCCATTGACAGCAGTGGCGGCTCTTGCATAAATGCGACCCTGGGTAAGTCCCTCTTTCTACTCCCCAACACTTAAACTCACAGAAAGATACACAAACATTCCTGAAGAAGCCAGCATAGGAAGAAAATAACTTTTTTCTAATGTACTAATGTTCAAACATCAAGAGCACACACAAATAAACAACTTAAACCTTGTTTTCTAGAAAATTTATTTTCAATGGAATAAAAAATATAATTCACATTACTGTGTATAGCGTGTTTTCACAATTGTCTCAGTCTCAGATGGTTCCAATGCCTAAAAAGATTAAAAATGTTTTCACAAATGAAATACATTTTTCATAAATTTTAATAGCTGTTTTAAAGCATTTGTGCTTAGTATCCCATGATCAAATTCAGGTTTGGTTAGCTGAAGTATCTTAGGCTTTGATCCAGAGAAACTGATATGTTTTTGAAATTCAATTGAAAATGGTAAAAGCCTTTTAATTTGGTACTTCAAATCAAATATCAATATTTGTTCCTCAGTGATTAGAACTATAATCATCCACTATTGTACAACAAGCCTTTATTTGGATAGGAGCCTTGTCTGCTGCTATCCTTTTGAAACTCATAGCATGCTATTTTAGTGAAAAGATTAAAACACAATACTACACTTAAATATGGAAGCCACCAGCTTGAACATTCACTGTAAAGCTGAACGTCAACATGTTTACAGGTCCTATGAGCGTTCTCTGCAAAATGAAATCCAGTGAGAACTGCCAAACTAAATACCATAAAAAAAATAAAGACACTTTTCACATCAGCTTTCCTAAAGTGAGCTCAAACAAATCAAAGTTTCCAACACACAGAAACAGGTGTTCAGGCTGGACAGATGCTAATGTTTACACAGATGACGTTAACTTGCCCTCCCTGCCCCCACCAACTTTAAAATAACACTCAATTTCCAGGATTGTTCCGAAACAAATGCAATAAGAACGACTTAGCTTTATTTGACTGTCTGTATTTCCCTAATTATTTGAGTTATCGCAAGTCTTTCAGCCTTTATCATTCATAAGGAGTCAGGGATTTTGAAAAATTACATGTTTTTCTTTTGTTTTTGTTTTTTTTTCATGACACCATTCATTTGGGGATCTTAAGTTACTACAAGCACAGGAAATGCTGTGAATGCACATATATTGAGCCCTCCCTTGAGTTGGATCTCCATCAGAGAGTTCTTCCTGCCATTGGCAAGATCAATGAAAATCATATCTCTTCATATTCTTTAAGCTTTTATTTCAAATCAGTTTGCATTTACAGTTTGCTTGGTTTTATTTTTGTTTTACCTTAAAATTTAAGTCATCAAAAAAAGCTGTGCTTTTCTATAAAGTCTCTCACTGCTCCTGCGATCAACTGCAAAGAAAATGTCTCCAAAGACATGATATGCAATCTCTGCTATATTTCACAATTAATTCATTTAATTTGTAAACATAATTTTATTTATTTATTTATTTATCTTTTATTTTATTAAGATTTCTTTTGCATCAAGAACCACAGGGGAAAGGTCTAAAAGCACAGTCCTATGCTGGTAGGTCTTGTCCAGTTGTAATCCAGAATATGTTTTGACACATAAGGTTTGTGTCAAAACATTATGGTTTTGACACAAACCATAATGTTTTCCTGCATGCACTCTATCTTGCTTATAACTCCAAACCTTATGCATGATGAAAGGAAACATGGAAACAGCAGTGTTTCCTAGACTGGCTTCAACAGCCTGAAGAGAACAGCATCTTATAACTGGAATATGCAATTTGTGGATAATTAATGACATCACAATGAAATTTATACACACATCAAGATTCACAATGTTGAATACACCACACTGGCTATATGAAGGAGTTTGGTAAGTAGTTTTTATCACAGCTGTGGGAATTTTGCCTACATTTCTTTACTGTTTTCACAAGACATGATGAACATTCTGGGAATGGGAGCCATTATTTTCCACCACATTCATTTGGATCTAATCCCACACTTGCTGTATTGCAAAAGAAAATATGGCGTTGCTCAGCTATGGGTGAGGCCGATTATGACGACGGCAGGGGTTCGGGTTGAGCTAACCTTAAAATCTTCACATAATCAAAAGCTGTCAGGAGCTCTCACAAGTATTTCTTTGGCAGTTCCATTAAAGATGTGCTCATGATGTCGTCGGACAGATCATCCTGAGTCATCATCACCTTGTTTCAAGCCGACAAATTGCTGTTGTTGTTTTTTTTTTGTTTTTTTTTTATGTGTGAACAGCTAAAAATTGAATCTCTCTCACCTCATTCTTACATTACTGAGGTACAGGTACAAATCTCAGTAGCTTTCAAGAATGTCTCTCTCTACCTCAGAGGTTCCCAAACCTCTGAGCTCTCTCTCTCTCTCTCTCTCTCTCTCTCTCTCTCTCTCTCTCTCTCTATATATATATATATATATATATATATATATATATATATATATATATATATGTATATAGTAGATGCAAAGTATGTCAGTTTTCTTGCACTGCCATTTGAGAGATATTTTTTGTGACATTTTCCCTATATTAGACATTAAAAAAGGCAGATAACAGGGGACTAAAGGAGCTCTGGCAAACAGCAGATGGGCATGCTGACTCTGACCCCAAGACATTCTATTTACATCTTTGGCGTCCCCTTGACAAAATCCCCTGAAAATCCACCCAAAGATGTGACAGAAAATGCCCTTTCTGAAATAATATGTGCTACCCCTGTGATTTCTGCGCACTTATCTACAATCTGTTTTGTAAATTTGCATGAATGATTTAGGGAAGGCTCGCAGACTTTCCTTAAAAAAAAAAAAAAAAAAAAAAACTACACTATCTTGCAAAAGAAAAGTAGTGTCTCACAAAAGACATTCATACATCTTGAACCTTTCTCACATTTTTTCACATTACAACCACAAAATGCAATGAGTCTTAGTGTAGTTTTATCCTATAAACCAAGGTGAATTCAAAATTTAAAGGATATATACAAAATTAGAAATACACACTAGAAACAAAATTTGTAACTAACATAAAAACCTGGAAGGTGTGACATGTGCTTGTATTCCCAACCTAAACAACTTCGTTGAGAATTAACTAAGTCAATAATAATTTAACCTAGCATAAATCCAGCTGTTCTTGTGAAGGCCTAAAACATTTGTCAGGGAACATAAGTGAACAAATACCACTATGAACATCACAAAACACAACAGGCATGTAGAAGTGTAGAAGTTTGCAGGAAGGTAATGAGATACCAAGAGGCCCATGAACTCTCTAGAGGACATGCAGAGATCCACAACTTGGGTGGGAGAATCTGTTGAACTATTAGCCATGCATTCCATGAATCAAACTTTGATGGAAGATCGGGAAGAAGGATTGTTGAAAGCCTTCAGATGACATGTGTGCAGTTTGGAAACAGGAACTGGAAAGATTCAAGTTTCTTTTTCTTTATTTTTTTATTTCTTTTTTTTTTTTTTTTTTTTTTTTCAAAAATTCTGACCATAAAATAAACGCATCACTGTGGTAAAAACATGGTGATGGCAGTATCAGGATGCTTTACTTAACAAGGACAGGGAAGCTTGTCATAATATCTCAGAGTATTTCAGAGTATCAATATGGGGTAACTAGAAATAAATCTGTTAAATGGAGCAGAAGACATATGAGGGTGTTGTAGACATTCTCCATAAAGCTGGATAGGATCCAAACCAACTACCAGAGCTGCAATGGAATAGTTTAAGAGTTGGAATGATCTAGTTAAAGTCCAGACTGAGATTCTGAGGCAACAGTTTAAAATGTTTCACTCACTGACTCCCTATTCAGTGTGATTGAGATTTAGCTTATTTAATCAGGAAACAAGTAAAATTATGTGTTAGAGGCATAAACAAGAGGAATTGCAGCAGTTAAATTTGGGTCTAAATACAAAATCCCGACAAGACTTTCAGATTCTTTTATTATAAGTAATTTTAGAGACCACGTATATTTAACTTCTGTTTTACAATTATGCACTACTTGTCTAATTTCTAAAAACAAACACATTTTGTCCAATAGCAGTTCTTTAAGCTTTTGATAATTTGTCTTATATCCTTATTGTAATGGTACTTTTTATGATTTTGTGTCGTGGATTTTTAAATCTGTGTTGCTTGGGAGCCTTGATGTTGGATTTAGACTATTTTCAAACTGTGTAAAGGCAAGATTATTAATACACTAAAACCTTGCAACAAACAGAGACTGTACTTTCCTTTTGCCATGACAGCAATAACTTATTTGAGTAAAGCCATCTATCAGTTTGTGAAGAGAGAAAGAAAAAGCTCTGCAATATAATCTTTCATGGCAATAATCCCTTGACAGACGGTTTTCATTTATCTCTTTAATGTGGCTATCCAAACATTCATGCAATCTCCATAAAGAGCTATGTCAACAAGAAACATTCATTCGTCAGGACCCACTATCATCAGAGGTGATAATGGAACCTAACAGGTGGACTAGATCATATGTTGAATTTGTGCTGGTCAGTACTTTAATTT